CTGGTGGATACATGGTGAGGAAAGCGGGGAAGGCGCTATTTGCGACTTCGTTATAAACGCCAGCATGATTGGTGCTTGAGTAGTTCGATGAGTGCTTTTCGGCAGTGAGTCTGCATAGAGAGGAGATGTAAGTAAGTTAAAAACTAACTTCAACTAATATATTATAAACTTACTTCAAGCCATCTTTGGCAGTTGTCTCTTGACCCAAAACCAACGGCAAGAATTCACTGTAGGTAATATGTTGAATTTGTGCAGTCACAATGCGTCGCGCCTCTAAGAAGACATCCTCTTCCGACCAATCGGCGTTCAAATGTGCCAACTGCTCGCCAATATTGTTGTGTTCCTGCAGCAGAGCACGATGCAGCGCCCCAGTAGCGCTGGTCAGCTGACAATATTTGCATGAACCAACTTTGACGCCACCACTAATGTAGGTGCGCAAGTCCTGCATATCACTGGCAGTAGCGCCATACAGACCAGAACCATCGATATACGAGGAGGCTACATTCATTTGCTCGCGCTGACCTAAAAGCACAGAAGTATGTACACAATTTAGTACCAACTTCTTCTCTGTAGGCAAAAAAAAAATAAGTTTCACAACTTACGCTTTCCGCACGCGTCCGCCTCATAGCCAGGCGCTGAGCGCTTATACTCCTTGCAATCGACGCCACGTCGCACATAGCATTGCTCTAGCTCTTCCGGATTCTTAGCGTTGGCATTTTCATTGCAACACTTTGCGTTTGTCGACACTTGACTCACCTCGTACAAGTCATTGGCGAGGAATTGTCCCCATGCGGGCAGCATAGCAGTGATGTGCTGATGCCGCAGTTCGGCGTCGACATGATTTTGCAGCTGATCGATAATGCTGCTTGCATCGGGTAGCGCGTGTGTGCCATGCGATGTGCGTGGTTGGCTGATGCCATCAGCATAGTCGGGTGCGATGAGACGCAGCAGCACATCACCGCGTGCACCCCATTTACGATGCGAGACGTTATTACATTCGCCGGTCGGTTGGCGATACTTGCTCGGTGGGCAGATTTCGGTATCTGTTTGATTGCAAGGTTGCAATGAGCGTGCACGCTCGAAGCGAAGTGCGGTCTGAGCATTGGCTTGCAGGTCATCTGGGGTGCGTAGTGCGTGTGCCACAGCAAGGAGGCAGCTGAAGGAGAAAAAGGAAGAATAGGGAAATTAATAAAATGTGATTGTTTGATTTTAAAAATTTAACAACCACTCTTGTGATTGGTTACAAATTGTAAATACAAAACATGTATTGTGGTATGGAATGGTTGAGACCAAAATGTATTTAACAAAGTGTGATTGAACTTGACCAGAAGAACCATCCTATAAAATCAAATTGATCAGTAACATATAACCTTTTCAGCGTTTTTGTGGCGAATTATCCAAATTTGAAGTAATGAAAATCATTGAAGATTTTAATAGGCTCTACCATCAAAATGTATTTTTCGTGGGTCGTACAGCTTTTTACGAACTAAGTTTTCAATGAACTTTTATTTTTTATCAAAGCCCCTTTTCTGCTTTAAATTAATTGGCTTTCGTGCTTTTTTCCATAGTGGAATTAATTATTTTTTTACTATGCAAAAATTTTACTCGCTTACGTGCATGCTAACATTTAATCACAGTGCAACCATTAATTTGAATGTGTTTAATTTTTAAATTCTAATTTTTCATTTTTAATTCTTGTTTTGCTGTTTATTCATATTTTTCTATTGTATCTCTTCATAGCGGTTTCTCAGCAAGCATTTTTTTTAACAGTTGTTTAAAACAGTATCCGGCTTTGTTGCAAATTTAGGCTAATTTGCAAAACTTGTTTGGTTTATATTAATGAACTGGTATATTCTTTACGTATTCGATTGTTTTTTTGTATCACTTTATCAGAATTTTTCATGACTTAAATACATACATATGTGTTTATACCTAAATTTAAGATTTTTTATTTAGTACTCAATTGCTTGTCAGTAACCTTTAATAAATGGGCATTTTAGACGCTGAAACGGTATGATACAAGTTCAAGTTTATACCCAGATATACGCTTGTATAAATATGTATATCTAATTTGTTATGTATACATAATTAAGTAATAGCCATTGAATATTCCCTCATGCCGTCACGCATTCATTACCGTTACTCGTTTATTCAGTTTCCCTTTAAGATCAGATGAGCAAGATAATCAATGATAATGGGCCGTATGCATAAAAACTAAGCAATTTAATTTTCTTAAAATTTAATACCTTTCACTTAAATTTATTTAAAAAAAATTGAGTAAAAGCTCTGAAATTTTAAGAAAATGCATTTGCTAAGATTTTATGCATACAGCACAATATGTTGATATGTTGGATACCCTGTATATGCTTCTCATTGTTTTTTACATAAACAAAATATATTTTTACCGGATTTGTTACTCAGCTTGTTAGCGAAATTTCCATACATTAAAAGAAGATGCTGCACTAACTATGCATAATTTATTGGGAACTCCGATAAGCAAAGCATATTTTGTGTGTTAGGTAAAAATGTGGGAAATTTCGAGTTTAATTGAAATTTTATAGCCGAGATAATTTCCATGCCGTGCTGGATGAGATTAGAAATTGCTTGAGGGCATGTAAACTAAAAATTAAATACAAAATCTAAAGAAATTATTAATGGAATTACGTCGAACCGGATTTGTGATATCTGTTGAGCTTCAATGTTGAACGAATAAAAGTATGGATTAGCAGAAAATTTTATCTATGCCTCTGTAATTTTTTTGCTTCCACTTACTGATAACAATTGTTAACAATTAAAACCTGATGAATACTTCAAGCTTTGCTTTAAGCTCTGCTAGGGAGCCATCGCCACACTCAGCAGTGTAATCTAATTAGAAGCAATCCTGAGAAACATCGCAGTCTTCTTAGCGAACTGGAACATTTTGTTTTATCCTACTTTGCCAGTTGCCCACAGATGTGATACAAAACATGCCTCTAGGAGACTTAACCACATCCCGCTAAGGATAGTTAAGCACAAAATTTTCAAAGGGTATTTTCCAAACCCATTCGTCCTTATGCACCAAAAAATTTGTTCTGATATAATTCTAAAGAGTTTTTTCTTTTATATGATACCCTTACTGTCATCCTACAGTGCATCGAGTATGTTAAATAATTTTTTGAAATAATCATATTTCTTGAATTTCAAAGTCCGTTGAAAAAAATCCTCACGTCAGAGAGAAAAACTAGGAACTCAGTTCTACTATAATTTACACATAATTTCACGAATATACTAATTTTTTGTGTGTAAAATTTACTGTGGCACGGTGTTGCTATAATTACACGGTACAATATTTACAGTATTTTTTTATCCTGGGAGTCGATGAAACCAAGTTTATTAAAAATCTGGACTTTATGTAGAAAAGTAGTTACTCAGTTTTCCTAGGTTGGCGATTTTAAGCATGTTTTTTTATTTTAATTTGAAGTTGGTGGTAACACAGCAAATATTTATACACCCAAAAGGCCTGCCTGGGAGTTCACGGGTCAGGGGTATCTATATTTGGTCTTTATTTTTACCAAAGATTGCGCCAGGATTGGCTTTGATGCAAAAAAACTTGTGTTTCCCAACAATGTCTTCATGGTTTTTTTGCGCTGAAGTGCGCCTAGTTAAAGTCTAAGCCCTAGTGGGATCTTTCATTTCCCGGAACATATTACAAGACCTGTCTTATCTGCGTTCACGGTAAACCCTTCATTGGTTGCCCAATGTCGCATGGCTGAGCTCTGGACCCAAAAACACAAATCTTTTATTAACTCAAGTGAACGAAAAACGCAAGGAAGAGCAGCGACTTTTTACTCCTGCACGTACGTAAGATTTTCGTTTTCTCTGCTGCCATAAATGCAACTCAATATTTACTTAACACTTCCACATTCATTTGCACAAAACTTACATGAGCATACTTGAGTAGTTATTTCTCAAAATATGCTTCATTCATTACGTTTTGCTCAGTCGCAGCGGCAAACATGCGCACACATATTTTGAGGTACGCGCATGCGCTGGTCTTGT